GGGAAAGTACTGCGGTGTGAACGTGCCTATTGAGTTCTTTTTAACCAAATCTCTCTCAGAGGGGCGTGGGGAGGGGCTCCTTATTTTCATCTAAAGTAACAGACAGAGAATCAGCACTTTGGAAACAGGGATGATTATGGGTAATGCTGCAATGATCTGTTTGGTGTTTCAGCCAATCAGAGACAGGCTCTGTATATATCTGAGACCTGTGATATATTGATGATGATAGGGGACCTTTAATATTTAACAGCATGCACAGCAGTACAGACCTCCAGTAGACGAGGATCCCGACGAGCACGATGAGCCCCAGGCCGGTCAGGGTGGAGATGACGGCCAGAGGAACCACAGCTTTCCTCTCTCGCTCCCGGACCGAACCCACTCTGGACTCATGGCTGCTGTTACTGGCTTCTGCGGCAAAATAATAAAAGTGGAAAGAAGACAAGTAAAACTATACTCAAGGGTGAATGAGAAAGTCAGAGGTATAAACATGTTGCATATGAGGACAAGCTGCTCTGGTCATAGAAATGTAGTTAATTGAAGCGGGCAGAGCCAATATGGCAGAGTCAATATGGGTATTTATTTGTATAAAATGTACTAAAAACTTGATTTTACTCCATTAAAAAAAATTGTAATTATAAGACGATATATTTAATAAGCCCATGAATGTACTTCTCTCTCCATAGCAGCGTGTCCTCATTGAACTCTTTGCACAACGCCAACATAAGAAAAGTAGCATGATCAATCAGACTCAAACACGACGTACAACCACTCTCACCCACTTTCCTACTGCACTCATCTCTTGAAGGAATCACAAAGGCTCTCTAATCAAAATCCATCACAGATCAAGCGAGAAACTGATTCATCAGGATTCAGGAGCTGGAGTCAATCAAGCATCGGCATCAATGTAACTTTGAATAACGTGAAAAGAAAAGCAGTCGGCAGAAGCTGACCTCACTGAGCCGATGCTTCTGAATCCTGCCTTTATCGCCCGACAACCAGTGAGGAAAACACTAGTGAGGGTTAACCTTGACTGTTTGCCAGAACGTACCTTTTCTGCACAATCGGACTCAGTTCAGCGGCTGTGAAAGGCGGGTCAGCGCTGTTCACGAGTTCAGAAAGAGCCTGTTGTGCGCTTTCTACGCTAAGAGTAAAAAACCCATTCACTCACTCATCCATGCAACAGTTTTTTTGTCTGCCTCTTAAAGAAACTCCTGGACACAGTGGTGGTGATAATGGGGAGGGAAGGGAAAGGAAAAGAAAGGTGCGGACAGGAGACGAGAAAGGTGATTTGTACAGAGGGTGAAGAGATGGAGAGAGTCAAAGAAGATCTGATAAGAATTAAAGACACGAAAACTTCCGACTGCAAAGATTTCCAACTAAATGTTTAACTTCCTAGTTCTGTTATTCTGTAAATCTGGCTATTATATGGTTACAATTTTGTGCAATAGCCTATATACAATCTCAACTCCTTAATATGTTCACTTTAAAATGCTGCTACTTACAATATTTTTAATCATGAATGTTTACTTTTTTTTATTTAAGTATGCTTGTCTCTTTATTTGATAATTGTATTGTTTGCATTTGCCTTGTGACGTGTCACTTTTGCTGTAGCTGTGGGACTGATAGAGGACTTCTGCTCCTGGTGCAAAGGTGTTACAATGGCCAGGCACATCTCCAGTAGCATTAACGCTCTGCAGATTCAGAAACGATGCAAAGATAGAAACACTAATGTGCCAAAACACGTGCCAATGAAGAAGCATCTTCACCAACCTGAGGAAACGTCACTGTATTGTAATGTAATGTTTGTCAATTGCCTGTAAAGAAGTTCTTTGATCGCAAGGTGTCATTTAAATAAAGGCTGATTGAATCATTGTGTAGTCAGAGACAGATGCTGTGAAAACTGGAAGAGCTCTGCTGCTCTCTGGTGGCTGTGTCGGATACTTTTTGGCTAAATAAAATGTCCCTGAGCTGTACATTGGATTTTGGACATCCCTTTGTGTACTTTAACACAACAGAGAGCTTACAGGATATTAGACGAGCGATTATGAAATTATTTAAATGTTCATTGGTACACAAATCATAAAAATATGAGAATTTTGCTTTTTTGCTGAGTTGGAATAAGTACTCAAATGATATACTTAAGTACAATTAGCAATACTACATTTTAAAAATACTCTGTTACAAGTAAAAGTACTGCATTTAGAATCGTACTAAAATAAAAGTTAAAAAATAATAATAATACAAATATATATGCGCATTAACAATACTTCAAGTAACAAAAGTAAAAGTACTCGGTATGCAGAAGGTCCCATTTAAGCTCTATATATTTTAGTTATTTTATTACTGGGTAGCTTAACCTATAATAATATATAATCATGAATGCTTTGATTGATAATTGGTATTAATAATCTACATCTGCAAGTAGCTAAAGCTTTAAAATAAATGTAGTGGAGTACAAATATAAAGTATTATAATGTGAAAATACTCGAGTAAAGTAATAGTACCTTTTTACTTCAGTAAGGTACAGTGCTCAAAGCGCTAAGCTCGATGAATTAGTGCTTTCTGAATCAACTTGTTAAAATAAATACAATTTAGGTTCACATTAACAAAGTGCCATCAAGACTTGATCCTCTCAATTTAAATACAATGTTTTAAACTACCTCAAAACTTTAAATAATGGAATTAGTAATAGTAGGGAATGTAGTGTTAATGAATGTAGACATGTACTGAAGGTGTTAATTTAAAAAAAAAAAAATTAACTTAAAAAATGATTATCTGCCAATTGTCAGTTTGTGTTCTGCATAAAAATCTTAGTTTATCTGGTTTTGAAGAAAAGGCATCACTCTCAGGGTAATACAAAGTAAGTCACAATTTCTTGATGGTTTTTGGTGATACTATTATTCAACCACGAGCTAAACCAACAATTAAAAAAAACACACCTAAAAATGATAGGTAAATTAATTTTAAAAAGCTAGAAAATACACAGAAAGACCGATAATTAAAATACAAAGAAAGGAACCAATTGTAACCCAAACTAATAACATCTAATTTATAATAAGAAATCAGTCTTGTAAATTAGTTGAGAAAGAAATCACTAAAAACATTGAAGACATGGTGACTTTTACTTCTTATTACTACAAGACTCGCCTTTTTTACGCATTTGCTTCTCATAGACCTGAGCTGGATACCAGACCTCTCACCAAATGCATGCTGGGAAATGCTGCACCGCTTCACAACCATAAGCAGAATTAGTGGTTAAGAAAATTGAGGTATGACTTGTACAAAAAAAACTGATGAAGATAGTGATGGTGGGTTAAAACAAGTTACTGCCTCCTGTTTGGTGACTGTAACGAGGGACCTTGCATGCATGACTTTTCTAGCTATCACAGAGAAAAATGAAATAAAAACGAAAGGTGGTTTTGTTGTTGACAGATGGTGGATTAGTCATCTTTCTGATGTCCAGCACTCTTCCTGGTCCCTTGGCATTTTGCAGGTGTAATGCAAGTGTTTTCCCCAATCGACGGCTTTTTTACCTGCGACTGGCTCCTCCTTCTCGGACTCTCTTTCTGTGTGCTCGGGGATACTGAAGTCTGAGGACGTCTCGTTGTCGTACAGGCTTTCACCCTGACCTGAGCCGCTCTCCTCCTCCCTGCCCAGCGACCAGGGTGACGTGGAGGTTACATCAGGAACGGTTGGTGTCGCTGAGCCTGCTACCTCCGTAGTGACAGCACTGCCACTCTCGCTATCAAAATAAAACGCAGAGGAGCGATCGTCCGAATCACCTGAGGACTGGCCGGACCCAGAGGTTGTTGGCGGAGCTGTGGTGCTAGTAACTTTGTTTGAATAAGTCAACGCGCTGTCTCCAGATCCCGAGGTTTGAACCCTGTCCCACTCCTGATCTAAGCCCTCCTGGGAGTAGGGGAACAGGGCCGAACCGGAGGCACTGCTGCTAATGTCTAAAGCCTGTCTTTCTTGGGTGGGGGTGAAGGGGGAGGCTGAGGGCGAGGAAGTTTGGGCAGAAGTTTGTAGGGGAGGGTTCTCGTCTGATGCGGAGAACCAGGAATCCCTGACGCCAGGGGCTGCAACAGAAATGGGCGGGTCACTATGGGTGATCTGGAAAAGGAGGGAGTGTGAAGAGGGCGATGACGGCGAGATATTGGAAACGAGAGGCTGATGTAAGGACACACCATCAGATCCCGCTACGGACGGAGAACGTAGAAGATCGTCTATACCAACACCAGAGGCTGAAGGGACAACTACGCTAGAGTAAAGGTCTAAGCTAGCAGACGCCCAGGCGGAGGACGGCAGGGGGACGTGAGGAGATGCATGCAACCAGGACGAGGACTCCGAAGGCTCCAGAGAACAGTCGCACTCCAAGTCCACGCCGCTAACTAACGGAAACCCATCACCGCTAACCTCGGGGAGAAAAGACTCTATCGCGCTCCCCTTGGCGTACCTTGCATCGTCAAACGCAACTGGGAAAGAGCGGGATGACCCCGGAGTTGTGCTGGAAAGGGTGAAGTCGCTAGAGAGGAAAACTGAAGGCTGAAGGGTGGGAGACAGAGAGAGTGTTGAGAGAGACGGATCCCAGGAGGATTTGGACGGTTCAGAGGCAACAGACGGATCCGGCAACGTTTGTAAAGGAGGGGTACCGCTAAAGACTGAAAGGTCACCTGAGGACTGCGTCAAAGAGGAAGACCCGGACAACAAATCACCATCGCTATCATTATCATCTAACCCAACACCAGGGTCAGTCACCCAACCAGACAGGGGCTGTGAGGGGTGAGGAAGGGCGGAAGCAGGGAGCATAGGGTTTGAAGGAAAAGCCGAATCTTTGCCAGACTGCGGAGCCGTGGCGGCATGCTGGGAGTCCGATGCAGACAACAAAGGCCAGGACGAGGAGGGAGGGTCATGCAGGCAGGTGGAGGGGTCCGCAGTGTCACATAGAGGGGAAGAGGAGGAGGAAGAGGAGGAGGTGGAAGGGAGGACAGAAGGACGCTCACCAGTGGACATCGGCTGTGTGGTCTGCAAGAGAACGCCACCCAACCCCACAGAGGTTGTCGTAGATGAAAAATGAGGCATTCCATGACTTGTGGTCCTACTTGGAACAGCTTCACCGGAAGAGGAAGGTCGAGAAGTTGACGTTTTGATCTCTGGAAGACTTCCGGGTCCAGCAGACATGGTGGTGGTTTCTTCATTTATGGGATGCCCCAGGCCTTGGTTGATCTTGACCCTGACGAAGGACGATGACGTTGTGCTGCTCATGTCACGGGTACGAGAACTCAGTGTGGTCGTGGTGGAGCTGAATGAAGAATGATCTTTACCACCTTTTGTCTTTGCACTTGTGGGTGTAGGAGTAGTGGTACTAACAACTATTTTGGATTCTTTTGGACTGATGCCTTCTAGAGCACCATTCGTGTTTGCATTGGGGTACAACGGAGTAGTGGAGGTGGCAATTAAGGTTTCCTTGGTGGAGTAAAAGGGAGCATTGCCACTAAAGTCAGCACTTCCCCTGGTTTTCGGGGGTGATGTGATCTCTAATGGACTTGTGGTGGTACTGCGATGTATGTTCTCTTCAGACTTGATTAGGACTCGACCATGCGAAGTGGATCTGACCGTGGGATCAGTTGTGGTTCTCCTCCGACCAGTTTCTGCTGTCGTGGTTCTGATGCCAGGGAGAGGTAAAACAGGAGATGGAGAAGTCGTGGTCTTTGGGGGGTTTGTAGGAATCCAGGCCAGATTGTAATCCTCAGTTGGGATAGGTTCATTCCAAGACAGATCGGGTTCGTAGATGCCCTGTTGGTGAAAAAAAAGGGATTATGGAAAGTCATTAATAACAGAGACAACAACATTTTAACTCCCAACTCGTCAAAAACAGCAGCTTGGTCGTGGCTCTTGGTTTAAAACTTCGAAGCTCTTGGTGCTTATCTATCGTCTCGGACAGCATGTTCATTCATTGTTGTTATAGGCAGCTGCATATATGAAAAAAAAAACATTACCCCAAAAAATTGCAACAAAAGGTTTCTTAACAGTTTTGTGTAGTATTAGGTGTCCCTAATAACATACTAAAAGTCTAAAAAAATCTTTCAAAAATGTTCAAGATTGCGTCCAAGATGGCCGAAAATTCCTTAAAATACCCTAACTCCTTCATAATTTATTCTACACAAGTAATATTTTTGGCTAAACCTACTGTATGTTTTGGGGGCCTAGAAATCCATTGGACTTGTCAAAGGGGATTTTCAAAATAAATGTCCGAGTTCATAGAAAAAGTAAAGTTTGGCATGTTTGGATTTTATTTGATTAAGTTGAATCAATTTGATTGATTGATTGCGGTTTTGACCAAAAAGGAGGTCCATTACCGTTTGCAACGTAACTGCTGTTAGCTAAGTACAGAGGTTTCGTTAAGGTCTCTGTTTCACGTGATAGGAACTGCGGTCTCCAGGGTTTGAATCCTGTATTTGCTTTATTAACATCTGTTACTTTGAGTTTCTAATAATGACACAGATGGGTTTACATTGGAGTTAGTTGATATGAATGAAGCATCTCTTACAGACGCTAAAGGGTGCGTCTCTGTTTGACGTGTTGGGAGTGAGACAGAGTTGAAAGTTAATTAATGATATGCAGTGTTTGATGAAAAATAAAAGGTTGTCTTACCTCTTCGTCAAATTCATTTAAATCCGGATCCATTTCATTTTCTGGAAAAAGGCACAGAGTGCATGATTAGTGACATAACACAAGTCTAAACAAGGACTAACGTAGCTCTTGTCAAACTCATAGAATACCACCTTTTATTCATTCCTATTTTGTTTTTAAAAATGTTCCTGAAGTATATTTACGTAAATGCTAAAATCAAACGTTTGAAAATGTATAAAAAACCAATGCAGAAAAGCAGAGACATATGACAAACGGTAAAAGCAATTAGAAAACATTGTGATGAGAACACCACGGAGAGGAGAAGGCAAATCCGTGGGACTCTGTATATCTTGATGTGTCAGTTTTTTGTTATTTTAAACCTAAAACTCTGTATAACTCCGGTATTGGAATATGAATGTGTTGATGTTGATGAATGGGTGAAATGACACAGGGAGAAAATGGAAAAGAGGGAAAGGTTTTGCACACCACTTCAAGCAATGTATTGGCTTTATAATAACCACAACACGACATGGGGACAAACACTTGCATGCAACAAATCCGACTTTCATGCGTGGATTCCCCCAAAGACACAACACAATAAACCTTGAACAAAAAGCATTTGCAATGAATCATCCGCACAGCACACAGGGGGTTGTGGCTCTTACCTGTCTGAGGCTAAGTCACACATCATGGAGACCAGATCAAACTGGTGTGTGAAGCATGAGGTGAGGTTTTACAAGTTTAATGAGGTGGACTTGATGGGAGGGGCTCAGGGTTTGAGGCTAAAAATCTACTTAAATTGATCAATGGAAAGCTCTTGTTGAGGTATATTTGGTAAATAAAATGAGGAAAAACTAATTCATAATTTTAGTTAATTTATTATTAGTTGATCAACAGAAATGGGCGACTCAAAAATCGCATCAAAAACACAAAAGATATATGCAAAAACATGCATGTTATCACTTACTAGTGATTGTATATTAGAATATTAGATGGATTTAGCAATAAACAATAATCTTCACTTGCGTTCGTAGATAGCTTGAAACAAACACATTAATGTAAAATGCTAAATATGAAATAACTAGCCAAAAATGTGTAGATTTCTGAAGCTGAATGCATGTAAATATAAAGTACTTTTCTATTGAATCATTTATTCATCAATTAATAATATCATAGAATAAATGTTCTGTTGATCAACTAATGTAAAATCGGCTAACAAGTACAGCTAAAGTTGTAGCTAGTGCTAATGTTATGCTAGCTGCGCTGGTGTAGCACTAAGCTAACGTGACAATCTCTATGACTGCTCTGAATTGGAAAACCCTTTATTAGCTGCCATAATGTAAGGTTTTATTGGTTACTACAAGACAGGACTTTCTTCAAAAATATGTAAACAGCTAAGATCGGGTGCTAACATTAGCTTAGTGTAAGCGTTAACTAAGCCGTCATGCTACATGAAAATCAGTCACGTAAATCTATGATATGTCGCAGAATATTACCCATTCATGCCAGCTGACACTGAAATAGGATGCAGGGTATTTTCTTTTCTTTGTGGAAAGACATATTAGTTTATTTAATGTAAAGTTCAGTGGAAATACAAAGTTACTACGATTATCAGTCCAAGCCATGTTACACAAAATGCTGCTGCACACATGCAAACATTTCTCTTACTGTGAGAGGCAGAGGGAGCGGACGCCACACAATGAAAACAAAACAAAAATGGCGAGTGTGGAAATGACCCCAAACCAAGCATGTTCTATCATCTTAGGAAATATATAAAGAAAGCATAATTAAGGGAGTACACAGAGAAACTTGTGAAACACATAGAAAGAGACGAGTCAAACAACAGCACTGCTTGTGCAGAAAAACACAGAATATAGAGCCCAGAGTGAAAGGCAGGGAGGGTGAAGAGTGAGATAAAGAGGAAGAAAAATACAATATATATCTAGTCGTGTCATTCAGGGTTCAGAGGGAGGGCGAGTGTGAGGATGGAAAGGTTTCTAAAAGAAAATGAATGTGGCTGGTGAAAAAACACATGACCAATATATGAAAACAAGAACAAATTCAAAAATTAAACGTGCTTCAAAACAAATACTAACCCTAATGAAGAAGCTTAGCTATTGGATTTGTTTACGCACAATTAATTAACTGTAGGTATATTTTTTCACTTTTGATTTTTTTTAAGTTCTCCCAAGTTTCCAAATTGCCTTTTTACTTTTTTTTTTTTATCATGAAATACATTTTATTTTATTTTAAAAGTGTGGAAGTGAAATAAAAATTTAAAAAATACTCAAGTCAAAATTATTAATTTTTCTAAAATTCCGGTTTAAAAAACAATAAACTAATTCAAACTATTTGACTTTTTAAGTCACAATGAAGCCACAATTATTAGATTGGAAAGCAGTAAGAAGACTGAAATTATGAGATTTTAAATAACATTTACCTACAACTACTTCATTTGAGTAAAAAAAGCAATCGAGCCAATGCCAGAAACTATACTATGACAAAGTAAGACAAATGTTGTCTTAATATTGAAATGCTTTTGTACGTACTTACTATTTTTAGAGTATAAGTCTCAAACCAAATTATGGCAAATTAAATCTATTCAAAATTACATTAGTTTTGATAATGTAGTTGTAAACACAAACATTTTAGTTAGCATCTAATACATTATACTAATTTTTTCCAATGTCCAAATAATTTGCTTGGAAGTCAAATAACTATTTATCCATATTAAGATTTAACTTCTGAAAAAATAATCGCAGTGAGAAATTATCTGTACAGTTGATCTGCCGAACTCTACGCTCGGTCTCGGGCACGGTCTCTCTTACCGGGGTCGTCTACGGGCATGGAGACGGTCAGCGTGTCGCTCACACGTCCGAACAGACCGTTGGTGCACATCGCCACCACCTGCACCACGTAGCTGGTGTTCGCTAGCAGGTCGCCCACTATCGCCCCCTGGTGGAGGGAGAAAGACAACAGCTTTGAAGAACCATTTTTACAGATCAGGTTTAGATGATGATTCATTTACATGTGTAAGAAATAATCAACATATTGTGCAGGAACTTTAAGGGACGCTGTTGTAGTGTGGCTTCGTGGACCAGATGTTGGAGACACATTGAACTTCCGGTTTTAGGATTATTATTGTTTTTAGCCAGTAGCATGTAGCTAATAGTATATGGTGTATGTGAATATAAGGAGAATGACGCGTGGAGTTACATACTAAACACACCGTCTCCAACTCTCACTTATTGACGCTGCATAACTACTATTATTATGTGTTTATGACCAATAAACACTGAATAATTGTGCTTTTTCTGGTGTTAACCATTTTACAGACCAAGTTTAGATGATTCATGTAAAAAAGCGATGTGTTCAATAATTGGAGAGCAGGGACTATTTACAAAGCTAAAGCTCTCAAATGTTTTTTCTTTGCTAGTTGGTTTGGTGTTAGCTAGCAGGTCTCCCAGTATCGCCCCCTGGTGGAGGGAGAAGGTAAGACAACAACTTTGAACAACCATTTTACAGACAATACCACCAGGTTTAGATTATTCATGTTCAAGTAAAAAAGTCATGTGTTCAATATTTAATATTTTTTGTTTTACTTTTGTGTATGCTCCATGACATCAAGTCAAATTCCTCGTACATGTCAACCTACCTGGTAATAAACCCTTTTCTGATTCTGAGGTGTTACTCTCATCTATGTGCTCAATAATTGGAGAGCAGAGACTGTTTATAAAGCTGTCAAATGTTTTTGGTTTTCTGTTATGCCAGTTATAGGCTTGGTTAGATCTGCTTTTTGGGGCTTGATAGAGTGAAGAAACTACTCTGAGACAATCCTCATTGATGATATTGACTCCCTCTCACCACGTCCTGGTCTCCGTCAGTCAGGTATATGAAGGGCGCTGCGTTCAGAGTGTTGTCCAGGCGGTAGCTGACGGAGTATTTCTCGATGCTGGCGTCATACACGGCCCTCGGACGTTCCCACGTCACCAGCAGGCTGCTCAGGTTGTGCGGCACCGCCTGGATGTTCTCCGGCTCAGAACTGCACACTGAAGGGAGAGGACACAGACGGGAAAATATTGTAAAAAATATAATTTTAAATTCCAAATGTTCAGAGGTGTAGAAGAACTATAAGTACATTCACTCAAGTAATGTAATAAACTCCACTAAATGTATTTAATACCTTTAGTTACTTCACAGATGTGGATGAATGATGTGAAATCTAATCAAGTGTTAAATCAGACTTTAGTTCCACCTGGAGTAAATCCACAAGCTACCCTGCAGTATACAAAGTCATTCAAACTAGCTGCACCTTTACCAGCTTTGAGAACACTTTCATGATCAATCATTATAAAACATATCATATCTATTATTCTGAAATGGACCAATCTGCACAATGACTACTTTTACTGTCTTTCACTATATTTAGATGAGAACCTATTTTGATGAGAACACTATTCTACTTTTACTGTCAACAGAGATTTCTACACTCTGGTACCAAGGATTCTGAGTACTGTCTACTTTTACTAAGTCACAAGACTTGTGTACTGTCTACTTTACTTAAGGAAAATCTGAGTACATCTACTTTTACTAAAGTACCAGATCTGAGTCTTCTACTTTTAACTAAAGTTACAAACCTGAGTACTTCTACTTTTTACTCAGTACACAGATGCTGACGTACTTCTACTTTTACTAAATGACAAGACATGAGTATTCTACTTTTACTGCAAGTACAAGACCTGAGTACTTCTACTTGTAATAAAGTACAAGGACCTGAGTATTTCGACTTTTACTAAAGTACAAGTACCGAGTGACTTCTACCTCTTACTCAAGTACAACGACCTCGAGTAACTTTCTACTTTTACTTAAGACAAGATCTCGAGTACTTCTACTTCACTCCAAGTACCAACATCTTGGTTTTATTTCCACGCATTCTTGTGTCAATACCTGCAAAAAACTGATAGGAAAAGAGACAATATTAAGGCCTGGTTTAACTGGTTAAAACTGAAATGGAAAATGGAAAAAGACGACAATCTCCAACGTGGCGTTTTGGCAGCATACAGTGCTGTATGCTGCCCCAAAACGCCACGTTGGAGATTTTCTCTTTTCCATTTGTTTTCTTCCGGAACCTGCATGACGTCATGCGTTCCCAGAACCAAAAAGTGGACCAATCCCCGGAGTTTGCTCCTCACACACAAGGATCCTTGGCGTCACTATAAACACCGCAGTGGGGAACCCTTTTAGCGTACATTCTCAACTACAGGGCTCCCATTGCTTGCATAAGCTCCCTGAACTCTGGTAAGAGACAGTTTGGGATGCGGAGAAATGCTCTCCGCAGAACCCACTCTCTACACGCGTTATACAACATTTCTTACCTCAATTATCAAGCCACATTATTGTTGTTGTCTTCAACGAGAGTTTCGCACTGTCTCGCTGTACGCCCGACCGAGAGAACCACACCAAGTAAGCCAGCTCACGAGCAAGCGAGCCTACGCACGTCCCGACCAATCAGAGCACACTGGGCTCACGAGGGATGGGGGCGGCAAGCTCCAACAAGGAACAGCCGTTTAGGACAGAGAAGCCAAAAATACACATA